AAACAGACAATTGCTCTTGAGTGTAGGTGCGATACAAACAGTGTGTGCTCTGGAACCACAAAGAAGATACAAATTTGTGGGGGTCTTGCAAGTCATTCTGGAGGAAATGTTAAGATTCTGTAGATTTAGACTTTTCTCCCCCTTGAATGTTTTGCAGGCATTTTATACTCAATGTATTTGTAAACTATCTACTGTAACAGTCAGGATAGGGTGTGCTATACTGTGTAACAAAAGTAATCCTATAATAATAGCAGCTTGAAAACAACAAAGGTAATTTCTCACTCATGCTGCAAGTCCTTTGTGAATGGCATGGGGGCTATGCTCATTGAGGTCATTCAGGGACTAAACGGATGGATCAGCCGTCATCTTGTGCCTCTGCAGTTATTGTGCCAGAGAAAAAGAAAAAGAGCACTAGAGAGTCTTCTTTTTTTTTTTTTTTTAAGTGTATGAGATGGTATCATTATCTATAATCACCAGCTGTACCTTAGATCCCCAGAACTTATTCATCTTATAACTGGAAGTTTGTACCCTTTGACCAATGTCAAAAATGTCCAGAGACAGAGATCACTCTCTGATCAGAGAATGTAACCCACACATGTGTCTTAGTAGAATGCGAGAGAATTGAAACTATTTGATGAATAGAACTAATGACTATCACTTCTATCTCAGTTGCGGGTCCTGTCATATACACAGTAATTCAAACCAGAAACCTGGAAGGGACCTCTGACTCTTTCCCTTATCACTCACAGTTTTGCCTCTGAAAGCTCTCTTCCAAATGTTACCTTTGTCTTCATTGCTTTTGCCTTGGGTTAGGCCATACTCTTTTCTCACTGGGACTATTACAGTAGCCTTCTTATTATCCTCTAGACTTGACCCCTTTCCAGCATCACCCTGCTGCCAGAGTGATCATTCCAGTGTGCCACCTTATTTAAGATCCTTCAAAAGTTCTTCATCACAAGAACAATTCCAAGACTTTAACAGGAACTATTCTTCACAATGTGGCTGCTTTTCCTTTCGCCTTTCTTCCTGCCAGTCCCACGTGTGCTAGCTGTGTTTAGTGACCTGCTGCTGGGCTTTGCATATCTTTACCCCTTTGTTCCATCTAGAAAGTTCTCCATTCCCTATTACCACACCTCCTTCTTCCCCACAAATGCTTTGCTCAAACCTACACAATCCTTAACTATATTTTAAGATTTCTATTGAGGATCATTCTCCCCTAAGAAACCTTTCCTGACTTTCTCAAATGGAATGACATCTATTTCTCTACTTTCTGTCACCAGATTGCCTTATGCATATCATTCTCAAAGCCCTTGTATCATGGCTTGTATTTTTAGACTACATGCCTGTTTCCCTCAACTAATCTATAAACATCTTGACGATAAGAAGCTCTTACTAAATGTTGTGTTTTCAGCAGGGAGTAAATACAAAGTTCCTGGCACATAGAAAAGCCAAGTAAATGTGTTACCACAGGGCTAGAGATGTAAAGATAAGGAATTACTTTTAAACTCATATCATAGGAAGATAGTTTTTTTTACATGCATTTGATGGTTGATTTTTTCCAACTTGTATAATTTGTTCAAAGTGAGAAGAGCGTGTGGGTGCATGTGTATGTGTGTGTGTCATGTCCCAGCTCAGTTCTTGGGTAGGTTAAATAACTCTTGAAAGCTTCGTTTTCCTTCTCTCTGAAACTCTGTAGAGAAGAGTTGTTCATAGCATCTGTTTCAAAAGATTGTTGGAAGGCTAACTCAGTAGATGCCTATAGTGACTATGTTAGTTTCCTATTACTGATACAACAAATCGATTACTTGGTAGCTTAAAATGACATAAATATATTACCTTCGAGTTATGGAGGGCAGAAGTCCAAATAGCACTGGGCTAAAATTAAGATGTTGGCAGGACTGTATTCCTTCTGGAGGCTCTAGGGGACAGTCTGTTTCCTATCTTTTCCAGCTTCTGGAGGTTTCTTGCATTCCTTGGCTTGTGGCCTCTTTCCATATTCAAATGAGCAATTGAGTCCTTGAGTCCTTATGCTGCATGGCTCTGATGCATACCCCCTCACCTCCCTCTTCTGCTTATAAAAACCCCACAACCACCTTGGACTCACCTGAATAATCCACGGTAATTTCCCTATCTCAAATCCCTTAACTAACTCACATCTACAACATCCCTTTTGCCACTTAAGGTGTGTAAAGTAGCATATTCCCGGGTTCTGGGACTTAGGATGTGGACATCTCTGGAGGGAACATTAATTTTGCCTACCACGGTGCTCGATCCACTCATTACAAGTGACCAGCACATTTTGGCTATTATTATTGGAATTATAGGCTATTTCTTAAACAGAGATTGTTAAACAGAGCTATGTTCCAGAGCTGAAATACTTTTGAGCCATACAACCTTGATCAGTGTGGCCTTGTATTAACTTGGCATGAAAGAGCCCCACTTCGTTCACTCCAAAAGTAGGTTAAGTGATTCACTTTTGAACATCTCCTTAGCCATTTTTATTATGTGGGATGCCTTTATAGTAAATGGAAATTGGTATTTATTTAAAAGTACCTTTGTAGCCCTAAGGAAGGCAGTTTTACTTTCATGACTATCATTGTGTAGTAATGACTAACAGTTATTGAGAACTTACTATGTGCCAGGAATTGTTCCAAATGTGTGTGTGTGTGTGTGTGTATACAGAGAGGGAGAGAAAGACTAATTTGATCCTAATGACCAGTCCCGGGGTGGGGGGGGGGGCTTTTATTTTCCTTATTTTATGGCAGTTGAGAGTTTACCCAAAGTTTCAGGACTGGTAAGTAATGGGATTTAAATCCCGGTGGTCAGGCTGTAGGACCTGTACTTTTAGCCACAGCATTGTAAAAATAGGAGTGTAAAAAGGATGGGGCAAAATGGGAAGACCGAACCCTCCACTTTGGGCTAATAACTCTCAGCACTTTTATAGCTCATCATGGGATAGCTTGAGGGTATTTAGTCTTACTGAGTTCTAATTTTTGTACTTTTAAAAAAATGCCTAATAGGGGCACCTGGGTGGCTCAGTCATTGAGCGTCTGCCTTCGGCTCAGGTCATGATCCCGGGGTCCTGGGATTGAGCCCCGCATCAGGCTCCCTGCTCAGTGGGAAGCCTGCTTCTCCCTCTCCTACTCCCTCTGCTTGTGTTCACTCTCTCGCTGTGTCTCTCTTTGTCAAATAAATAAATAAAATCTTTAAAAAAAATGCGTAATAGATGACCAACTGTGAGTTGGGAGTTGGTCGGTTTTCAGAGATGCTTGAAAACAAATTGTCTAATGAGTTCAGACTTTTGGATAGGTCCTTAGGTTTGTCCCCTCCCCCTCGCTGTCAGTTGGGTTGGTCAGTCTGTCTCTTAAAATTGTACCCTAGGAACATTAACCACGGCAACTACCATACATCATGTATTACCTTTGCCTTTTGATCTATTCTGCCAACCTGCTTTGATATGTAGAGTTTAAGAGCAAGGAAACTGAATTATTTTAGATAGTTGTTATCCAAGTCAGTGTTTCCTAAGAAAGTCCGTGTTTCCAAGGACCTCTTAGAGTAAAGAGATGCTATTAACGCTTTTGCCACTGTGGTTAGATGAAAAAGATAAAAGAAAGATTATTAATATGGCTAATCATTACAAACAAAATGTTAAGAACAACTGTTGAACAATTTCATATGGAAAGGAACTCCTTTTAAGTGAGTTATTCAGGGATGTAACCATGAGGAGTTGGATTTGCTAAAAGTATGTTGACAGAGCTGGATGCTGTTAGCATAATAAGTAAATCACCTTTACGGGCTTTAAAAGTTCATTACGGCCACATTAGCGGAATTAACATGTTTTTGCGAAAAGGCTATTTATGTCAAAATAAGTAACAATGAGAGCAACTAATAAATGGATGAAAATAAAATTATATCTAATCGATTCATACATTCTTATGTATGAAAGAAATACATATTATACATATTATACAGTCGTCAAGTCTATCACATTTAATATGACTTTAATATTGACTCAGAATCACACAGACATTTTGGAGAGTATGTTACCTGCACCACATGGTCACAATTGAACTTTTATGCTCCAGCGTTTTATTTAGAATCCTTTGGCAGATGAAACTGTTGACCTTAGTTAGCTAGAAAACAGCTGCTTTTCTATTTTGATTTGTAGTTAATGTTTTCCAAGTGTCAAGCACATGTAGAGAAATTTTTTCCATAGACTGATATTAAACATTTTATTTATATGTCTTTTATTTTTAATGGTCCGTGGACTGTTTGGAAAAGTGAGAGCCAATGAGAGCATTCATCGTAAATTCCTTTAGAAAAAAAAACCTCCCCTGGGTATTTCTATAATGAATCAATATCACATTTGTTTATTTTAGTGACATACTCAATTATAGTGCTATATTCTGGAAGCAGTCTGTTGTCTATTTTTACTAAGTTAAAAATACATGATCTCTTTCAAAGTTTTCGGGAGTTTGTGCCGAAGTCAAATCTAGGTGATTTCCAATATCTTAGGTTTGACTATTTTGTCATTGAATGAATACCTCGAGAAAGTGACCAATTGATAATTTGTTTAACGACTGTATCGTATTAATCATATTATATTTATATTTTCTGGTCAAAGATGAAGATAATTTAGTTCCTTCTCTCAGTTTTTCTAGAATTAGAGTTTTACTTTTGGGGTTTTTTTATGATATAGTCTTGGCAAATATATGAGCCCTGTTATTTTTATTTATCTGTTATGCATAGGTCACTGAAATTTGGAAAATGTGGAGAAATATAAGGCTGAAACTAAGCAGACACTATTGTCCTTTGGTGGCAGATATAGAGATATGCAGAGCTTGTGTCCTGGGTACTAAGTAGCATAAAATGATGGATGAAATTGAGAAACTGAGAAAGGAGGAAGGAAACATTATAAGGTTCACCACATTTCATTTATTTGTTGTAAGTCTCAGGTGAGGTGGAATTGCCCTGAATTCTTTGGGCATGGGGACACCTAGATGGGAGACTCAGTTTCTCTACCTGAAGCTTTTGAGAAAGCAGTAGTTTCTTCACAGGGTTAGGTTACTCGTGGTAGAAGAGAAACTCTCTTGGTTGTCCCAGTGAAGTGGGTAGTTTTGCTAGCCACCATCTTTCTCTTTGTGTTTGCCTGGATAGAATGAAACTTGGGAAAATAGCTCTAGAGTTTTCTTAATGGGTTTTTTAAAATAAATACTTCTAGTAATGTATCAAAATATCCTTTTTTTTTTGTCTTTCAGGAACATTAAAAAAAACCTATTTTAAATCAAATGGGAGTGAACCTTTGGTCACTGATGGTGAAGTTCAAGTGTCTGATATTATTCTTACAAATATGATCTGTAACAAGAGCACTGTGACATCTACTACACATCCCAATCAACACATTCCAGCCTGGACCACGGATGCTTCTCTCCCAGGGGACCAGAATCACAAGAACACAAGTAAGTCTGAGGATGCTGAATACTTGTGCCCTTTAATGTCTGTGGAACCCATGGGTGGGTTTTTAAGTGTGGCAACCAGTGCTCTTAATTCACAATCACTTACTGGTCACACGGGCAAAGCTCTACTCACTTATCCGGCAAACTTAACTGAGAGTTCTATTCCTAACATGAAATGCCATCAGCTCAGCTGTCCAGATAGGGAGAAGGGTAAAAAATGAAAATGTATCAACGTCATTCAACATTTCTGAGGCATACTGCTTGCCCCAATACAATGGTATTGATTTTATGGTGGTTCACTTCTGAAAGTTTGTGTTTCTGGTTTGAAGTTTGAAGTTACTTATTTTGAGATGGTTAAATGAATAAGTAAGTGAAGTTACTTATTTTCTTATTGGTGCCTTGTGGGAAGGATCTCAATTCTATGATAGAATGTCAATGATTTAATGGGAACTATCCCCCCATTTGCTTTGGAGGTGCTCATGTGTTCTTTTTACATTGTTTCCCTCTTCTCCCTCTTTTTTTGGCTGTGCTATTTATTGTATGTGTTGGTGACTGACAATCACACCTTGAGGAAAATGGCGTGTATGAAACTCTGCTTAAGGACAAATGGAGGAATATGTCAGCTATTCCAGAACAAGAGCTGGAAGAGAGAGAGAGAGGACAGCAAGTGTGGAGATGGGACCAGTTAGATGGTAGCAGGCAATATGCTCTGGAATGTGATTCTATTCCTCAATATCCCTCAGATTTTTAGTAAAGGCACTAAGCTTCCAGAATTCTGGTGGGAGTGGAGTTGTGGGTAAAGTGTCCAAGAATGTCGGCTCTGATCCAGTTAGTGCTGGCAAAACATAATCAGAGTGCAGTCACTGTAAGAACTTTCTCTGCACTTGTCTTAGTTCTTATTTTCTTTTTTTCTAAAGATTTTATTTGAGAGAGAGAGAGAAAGAGAGAGAGAGAGAGAGAGCGCGCGCACGAGTCGGGGGAGGGGCAGACGGACAAGCAGACTCCGTGCTGAGTGCAGAACACCACATGGGGCTCGATCCCAGGACCCTGGGATCATGACCTGAGCCGAAGTCAGATGCTTAACTGACTGAGCCACCCAGGCATCCCTTAATTCTTATTTTCTACTTTCTAAAACAAGATTATGTGATTGAAAATTGTACAAAGCCCATCCATTCATGGTCATTTTCTTGTTTGTTCCTCCCTCTTTCATGAAAACACACAAAGGGAAATCACAGCCTAGGTCTAGGACAGAGTATTGATTTTCATTCTGAGCCAGGAAGGGAAGGATTAGGCTAAATTGTAGCTATCATAGCATATGTTTGTCAGTGTCTGAAGAAAAGCAGAATTATTCTGTTGCTTTAGCCCCAAAGAGACAGACTGTTTGGATTCCATTATTTCACACAGCACCCACATATTAACTATTTCTTATGCTTGGTGTTCATCAGTGATTAACACAGATCCGTGTTTATTACCTGGTAATAATAACTGCAAACCCAAATTATGCCCAGTAAAATTTATTTTCCTCATGAGTTTGATTTTGAAGTTTTTAAGATTTTATTCATGTTTTAAGCACTTCATTATTCTTTTTTTATTCTGCTTTTATTACTTAACAGTTGATGTAAGAGAATTTCTCCCATATTATTAACATACTTTGTAAACATTGTTTCTAATGTTTATTGGTTATTCTATGGTTTTGTCATATGTTTAGTTTTTCTTATCATTCTCCTGTTGCTCAACTTTTTTTTACCCCAGTTTTACTTTCTTAAGGACCGTGTTTTTCATTACAAGTGCAGAAGTCATTTAAGCAAAAACTCAGTCCCGTTAATGTGGTTGCAATTACAGCAATTGTTATTTTCTTTTGCTAAGTGGATTTATCTCTATTTTGAAAGTTTTGTCATTTGTTAAGATTCAAGTAGAGGTGGCAGACACATACTCTGAAGAGTAAAGAAACATATGGTATTTGTTACTCAGTTTGGAAGCTTGATAGAAGTCTGTTTGACTCGTTTTCTCTTCCTATGCCTGGAACATTGCTTGAGACTATGAACGTAGTTTGACGTGTAAAGGAAATCCAGGTGAAATTAGAACGGTTAAATGGAGAAAGGTCAAAACCTTTGAATATATATCATTCCATGTCGTTAATGTACTTGACAGTTAACATTGAGCTTTACTGTCTGACCACCTAGACCCTCAATAGACTGTCGGTATTAACTAAAATTATTCATTGCAAAGGATTTGATAGTTTTTCATACATTTCAATAATACTGCTAGCCTGTGATTATAGAGCTTTTGGTTGTTTTGAGGGCATATTTAAATACTTTCTCTGTGGTCCTTATATGTAATTAACTGATGAGGTGTGCAGGACAGACAATACACACCATTTCAAGTAAGGGAATTGAGGCTTAGAGAAATTAAGTTGACATATCCAATATCACTTGTGTAGTAGTTGGTAGGCATTAAATTGGAATTCTGTTCTTGGGACTCCTAGACCACTGCTCTTTCAAGAATTTCATGCTTCTTCATTTAATTTTATTGCATTCTTTGTTGTTGCAGAACAAATTTAAGCTCGAGGAGAGTAATTTGTTTTGTTCATTGCACTATAAAATATTTATTGAATGAAAAAGAAATGAACTACAGTCATTTCAAAATTTTAATATCTGATTTATCACTTTTCATTAACGATATCTAATCATACTTCTGCACTTGATATTTAACCAGTTTTACTTAAAGCATCATTTAATGCCCTGTATCAGTACTAACACCTAACAGAGGATTTGCTTTTATACTTTTAAAAAAATTATTATCTAATTGAAATGTCATTTTAAATTCCTGGCATATGTGAAAGCTATTTAAGTCCACTTCAGTCCAAAAATACAGTGCCCAGACATTCTGTTCTATCCAAATATCCTGGGTAGGAAACCAAGGAGAGAACTCCAGGCAAAGGTACAAGGAAGTAGCCTTTCCTTAAGACCTTTCCGCCTGGTGGTCCTCAATATCAAGCCAAAGCATAGACTACTATAGTTTGTAAACTCTTAATCAGAATACCCCCCCCCCCATTACACTGTGGTGGAGCTTTGTAAATGTAAAACAGGTTTTATGTGACATCTGTTACTTCTGGATTTTCATTAGCTGCATTTTGAAACCCAGTTGTAATATGGAAAGGGAAAGCTTGCATATTACATTTCAGCAAGGGATTTTTCTAGGTTGCATTTTGTATTTTCACTTTTTTGTTTTCACCTTTCTCCTTACATATTTTTATAAATATTTAAACATAAATTGAATTCTAAGGAAAGGGAAAAAACTCTTTGACCAACCAAGAGCTTTTGGGTTAAAAATAATTTGGTGCACAATGAAGTAACCTAGAAACTCTGGTCAGGAATTAAAGTGAGAAAAGAGTGGGGTAATGTGCTAGAAGCTTCAAGTATTCTGTTATCATGCTCTTTGATAACCAGCTCCGTAATCATCTGTATCAGATGAAAATGCATCATGCCTCTCATTCACTTTTAAAAAAAGATTTATTAGCACTGATAACTTTGTACCAAAAGTGCCCTAATCACATGCTAAAAATTTGCTGAGTGTACATGGAACACTACATCAAAAACTAATGATGTAATGTATGGGTGATTAACATAACATAATAAAAAAAATTGCTGAGTGTAGAAAGCTTACACACCAGTCAAAAACCCTAAAGTTATTCTTTCTTCCTAGTTTTCTGTTTGTAACATGGTGTTTCTATTAGCTTGAAAGTAAGTTCTGCCAAGAGTATGAAGCTAAGGGGATCAGAGTCTTGAAGTTTTGCCTGGATTACTATTCATCAGGCAACTCTACAAAGGGGGATTTTGGGGAGAGGGAGTCTAATTAGAGTCTAATTAGACATCTGAAATCACGTTAAGTCCCTTCTCCTTTTTCCCTGACATTTTCTAATCTTATCAACAATAGAACACTGGATGTCTTCATTATATTTTTTAAAGTCAGTTCTGCTGTCCTCAGAGTAATGCACCCACCTCTATAGCTTACTGACTATGGATTATTATGCTGTTTGGAGTGGGGATCTGTGCTTATCTGTGCTCATATGTGTAAATGGGGATGAGTGAACAGATTAAGTGTGCCCAAGAATTGTATCCTTAGCATTCCTTGCTTTTTGTTGGACAGTACTTTTCCATCTGGGGTTTGAGGGACTCAGATGTATTCTGAGGATCCAAGAATTCTCTATAATAATTTCTTAAATATATGCTTTCATTTCAGTGATAAAAAAATAACTACTGTAAGTCTGACCTCAATAACCTGGGTCACCGTCTTAGAACAAGTACTTAACGTGGAATTTTGGTGCCTGTATTTGAGTTTCTATTTAGGAGTTATGTTACTGCTAAGCTGTATTGCCTGGACGTTTGCCAGCCATCAAGAAACGGACAGAGGCAGACTTGATAGATGCTCTTCTCAATTGCAGAATGAAAGTATGTACTGGCTTCCTGTACAAAGGGCACCTTCATGGCGATTCAAACAGAAAAATGGTGACCCACTTGCTCAGCTGGGATACATGGTGGTATAAACTTCCTAAGTACAGAAGAACTTGGGACTCAGCACCATACTTTTCATAGAATAATGTTATTATTATTCATTAATGTAATTAACTTAAATTTCATTAGCTTTGTAATTTTGTTTCTATTTAAATTATACATACTAATTTTGTAGTTGCGCTAGATCTATAGGCATAAAGTGGTTTATATCTAATTATATATACACCTGCATAACTTTCTCCCTGTAAGAATGCCTGTGACAATTTTCAGCTTGCAAAATACTGCTTTCGGGTAACAGAATTCTAGCTGTTTGTGTCACAAACCCAGAAAAAGCAGCAAGGCTCTATGGCAGAGCTTCTTAACTTTTTTGGTGCCAAGGACTGCTTTGGCAATCTGGTGAGGCCTGTAGGTGCCTTCTCAGAATAATGTTTTGGTGCCAAAGATAAATTACACAGAATCACAAAGGAAGGTAATTTTATTAAAATTCAG